GGTGCCCATCCACGGCGCGGCGTCCACTGTCACCTCTGCCGGTGACCTTCAAACTCCTTCCTGAGCCCCAAGTCCATTTTTTCTTTTTGTCTTTCGGACACAACTATCTCAGTGGCCCCTCCAAGCCAGTGCCCGAAGCCAGATTCGTTGACCCGGTGATGTGAACCTGTACATCCTCTTCTACGATCTCAGACAGAAACAATTCCCACCCAAGCGAGAAATCTCGGCTTCTACACGCTCCTCAGAGAGATCGCCAGTTTTTGGTAATTCTTCCTCTTAACTACCTCCCAACTCCGTTTATTCCCTGTTCATCATTAGTATTGCCCACACTCCAGGCACCTCTCCTCTCCCCGCTTTTGAAGCTTACCTATTGCAAGTCACTGGTAGTTCAGGGATGCTTGCCGCCCTGCATAACCAAGCGAAGGCCGACTCCACAACAGCCAATGGCCATTTCCATTCTCCAGAGGAGCACTTACGGATAGTATTTTAGCAAAGAAAGCACAACATAGGTGCCTGCACAAATCCTCAGAATGTGATGTAAGATAGAATGACTAACAAGTACGTTATGTTTCTGTTTCTTTTCCTTGTCATAAATTATATATTTCTTAGGGAAAACCTGGGTTGAATTTGCTTCACTTCGTTTTTGCTGGTTTTATAGAAATATAATTGATGTATAAAAATTCTGTATATTCAGTGTATACACATGAGAATTTGATACATGTGGTGTAACATGATCGTCACAATCAAGTTAATCACATTAATATATCACCACGTATAGTCCACATTTTCTTAGGGTGACAGTATGATGTGGGAGATGAGGAAACAAGATCTGTTCCCTTGCTCTTAGTGACTATCAAGAACCCATAGAAGGTTATCAATATACACGTACCAACTCCAAGATGCTAAGCATTATGTATTCAGTTTGTACAACAAGAACAAAAAGAAAAGAAAAAAGAAAAGAAAAGAAAAGAAAAGAAAGAAAGAAAGAAAGAAAGAAAGAAAGAAAGAAAGAAAGAAAGAAAGAAAGAAAGAAAGAAAAGAAAGAAAAAAGGGGTCAAGAGATGGATGGAGGGAGGTGGGAGGAAGGGAAAAGGGATTTAAAAAAGAAGTCATCCTGCTACACATTTTTTTTTAATTTTAAAAATTAAAAAACTGCAATACATTCCATTTTTTATGGCGCTATAGAGTTTTGGTGTATTGATGTTATGACTAAACAAACTGCTCACAAAGAATGTTTTAGCAATATAGCATTGTGAAAGCATGCCATTTCACTACAAATCTTACCAACAAAAACCCCTGTAAAATTTGTATACATTGTGTTCACCAGCACTGTTTTGGTAATAGAAGAAAATTATGAATACATTTGCTGGATATGTCAGTGCTATAAATGGCTTTGAATAATTTTTCTACCAGGAAAGATAAGAGTCCTTTTTTTACTACAGTGGATTAGTACATGTGGATAGTACATTGTTTACACCCCTTGTGGGAAGACGATACTTTATGTGACACATCCTAATTCCTTTTTTAACCCTCTTTCCCTTTCCTCTCTTCCTCTCTCCATCCATCTCCTGATCCCTTTCCTTTTCCTTTTTTTGTTACTACTGTACTCACATGCAGTACATGATGTTTACGTGTCTTGTGTGGAGTTGTTAGGTGTATGTAACACACCCCAACTCCTTTTGTTCATTCCATATCCCTTATCACCCCCCCTCTTAAAAATTATTCATCTCATGACTAAGAATTCATACTCTTTGACCAACACCACACCATTTCCCTTAACTATAGCCCCTGGCACTCATGTTACTCTGCTTCTCTGAATTTGACTTTTTTAGATTGCACATGTAAATAAGACAGCATAGTATTGATTAGTACAGTATTCGCCCAGACCATATAGCATTTGTTTTTCTGTATTTAGTGTATTTCAGTTAGTGTAATGTCATCTAGGGTAATCCATGATACCACAAATGCCAAGTGTTTATTTTATTGCTAAAGAACATACATGTGTGCTATATATGTGTATATCCATATATTAATGTAATATATTCCTCTATCCAGATACTTAGGTTGTAGACTATTGTGAACAGTGCAGCAATAAACACGATAATGTAGATGTACCTTTGGATATACACCTGGAACTAAGATTACTGGACCATATGGTCATTGTGTTTTCAATATTTTGAGGAGCCTCCATATTGTTTTGCTTAATGGCTGTACCCATGTGCAGCCTCACCAATGGCACACAGGAGTTTCCTTTTCTCTACTTTCTCACCAGCACTTGATATCTCGATGCTGTATTAATAGGTGTGGGGTGATACCTCCCTACTTTTGATTTGCATTTCCATAACGATTACTGTTATCAGTCAGGGTTTTACTGGAGAAACAGATATAACACAGGATGTACAAATTATAAGAAATGACAAGATTGGCTTACAACGGTCAGCCAGAGAGTTGTATGAGGAAGCGTGCAGAGGGTGTCTGCACACTGAAGACCGAAGGGATCAGTCCAGGGTCTGGAGTTCACTGCAGAGTTCCATGCAAGTCCATACCAGGAGGCCGATGAGTCTGCAACAGAAGGCTGAAGGATCAAGGTGGAAGCTGAAGAGTCTGCACCAAAAGCCAGGAGACGAAGTCCAAGCTGAAGGTGAAGACCGGAGCTCCTCCAAAAGGAATGGAAGTACCTCTGTTCTTCCTTATTTCCCTTTTACATTATCTAGGTGATGATCCACCTTAGGGTGGCTCTACATCCTAGGGTGTAGAATTGCTGAGCCAATTTCTGAGCCAAGTTTAGTTATGCTTCTAAACTTCTCAAGTTGACATAATCAATCAACCACTACAATTACTAACGCTGAGCACCCTTTTACATACCTGTTGGCTACTTGTGGGTCTTCTTTGGGAAATGTCTATTCAGATCTTTTGTCCATATGTTGAGTTATTTAAGTCTTTGCTATTGAGTTGTATCAGTTCTGTATACATTTTGAATATTAACTATTCACCAGATAAATGGTTTCCAAATATTTTCTCCCATCCTATAGGTTGCCTTTTCTTTTTGTTTGCTTTGTTGGACAAACATTTTAGTTTGATATACTACCACTAGTTCATTTTGCTTTTGCTGCCTGTGCTTATGGTGGCATATCTAAACAAGGCCAAGGACAATGGCAAGGAATTTTTTTTCCATGTTTTCTTCTAGGAAATTTGCAGTTTCAGGTTTTGCGTTTAAGTTTTTAATTTACTCCAAATTACATTTTGCACATAGAGTAAAATAACAATTCAATGTTATTCTTATGCATGTGAATATCCAGTTTTCACTGCTAAATTTTTTAAAGAGAACATTTTTTGCTCATTATGTATTCTTAGTGCCCTTGTCAGATTAGTTAACTATGTAAGTGTGGTTTTACTTTCTGTTGCATTGGTTTATGTGTCTTGTTTTTATGATAGTATATACTTTTTTATTACTACAACTTTGTAGTATAGTTTAAAATCAGGAAATATGATGTCTTCAGTTTGGTTCTTTCTCAAAATTTCTTTGGCAATTCATTTCTTTTATGCTTCTATAAGAATTTTAGGTGATTGTTTTTATTCCTGTGAAAAATGTTACTAGAATTTTGGTAGGGAGCACACTGAATCTATAGAACACTTTGGATAGAAATTAGCTGTAGCTGTATGATGAGGTAGCAATAAAATGTAAGTAGAAAAGATGTCTGACATGTCCAGACATGGTCCATCCAAACTTTCCAGTCAGCTGCAAAAGGAAAAAGAATTCAGGGAAACACACGGAACGTCACTACTAAGCCTTAAAAGCCATGCTAAGACGGGAGGGCTGAGGTCAGTCTGCTCCTGTGACTCCATGGAGGAGAGCCTACTCCTGACATCTGAACATGCACTCTGCACTGCTACATGAGCAGGAGACCACCCTCAGTCGCTAGGATGCTGAACTTCTGGGGGGTCTATTCCTGCTTTTTAAGATGAATTTAACCAGTAAAGAAATACAACTCACTTTTCCATGAAAATACTCCACAGATGTTATCTGAAGTTCCCATCAGACACATATAATGTCTGGTTGTCTGCCTTACATTCCCTTTCTTTCGCTTTCTTACACAAATGCACACACACAGATACTTTTCTGAGTCTTCAGGTCCTTGATAAAAGTCATGTAAGTTCCTCTGACAAATTATTCACTCCTAACATTTCTAAATCTTAACCTGAAGTACACACAATGAATTTCATTCTTTAGGCAGAATCATCTGCCTAACAGATACAAACATTATCCATCCTGATTCTCACCAACATAATAATGTTTAGATAATCTTGGGCAAGTCTTGTAATTTCCAGACCTTAGTCTTCATTTGTGAAGTGAAACTATCTACCAAGAGTTTAGAAAATTAAGAGAAGCTATATGAAGTATTTTATAAACCCTCGGGGATAAGGTAATCGTGATTGAAAGGGGGTAACTTAAATAAGACTTTCAATCTACATTAATACATAAATTAAAATTAGTAATTTAGGATTCTGCCACTCTTTAAATCTCGTGTTTTCTAATTGCTCACATAAAAGTTTAAACTCCTGTGTCGTATTCAGAGCGCTGATGAACCATTCAATTTCAGGCTAATTTTCTACCGCAGTCCACCCCTCTACATCCTTCCACTCCACTCGACTTCTTAAAATCCCCAAGGTGAAGCGTGGACCTCCCCTTCCCTGCGTCTGCTCGTGCTGCCCACAGCCGAAATCCCTCTCCTCCTCTGCCGGCTGAGGCTGCATCCCACCTCACAGCTCACGTCTCACACCACCTCTCCTGCTCCACCGATTTCTTAGGAAGAAGAATCTTGTCTCTATTATTAATTCCTGAGATAGGAAACACACGTTTTTATAACTTTGAAATACACATTCTTTTTTTTTTGTTTGTTTGTTTTTTTTTTTTGGTTTTTCTCCGGTACCAGGAATCGAACTCACGACCTTGCGCTTGCCAGGCAGGCGCTTTACCGCTGAGCTAAATCCCCAGCCCCGAAATACACATTCTTTAATGTTTCCAGAGTATGTATATATTTAAAACCTTGGAAAATTAAAAGATTATTAACCTCATATATTAAATAATTATGATACAAAAACAGAGCTAAAATATTCTTTAAATACAGTATTTTAACTGTCTTAGAAGAAATTTTGAACCACTGGAAAAGCAAACTCTCTCATAGAAATATTTAATGTTATTAGAAGTAAACTCCATTTTAACATTAACTCCATTAGGCTACAACTCTGCCAGGTGTGTGGCGATGTGATACATGGTAGAAACCCAAGGTGATCAACAACAGAGGAGCTACGTGCTGATATTCTGAACTAGCGTTGTAACTGTAGACTGGCTACGTATTTTCTTTAAAGCTTAAACAGTGATTTCACTTTGCTAAGACACAGTTTGTTGTCATGAGATTCTACTGATTTTTTAGGAACAGAGCTGCCCCGCACTGAATCCACTGGTCTTGGTTGCCGCCGCACGGAACATCGATATTGGTCACCACGCGATCCCGCTCAGCACTTGTGTAGACCGGCAAAGAGATGCACTCGTCAGCGGAGTAGGGGCCATATGCACCCTGTTAAAAAAAAAAAAGTTTTAAAGTATAGCAATACACTCTTTTTAAAGGAGATTAGTAGGTAACTAAAGAAACAAGATAAACCTCCAGATAATGCTTTAACATATTATGAAATAAATCTTTAAATAAATATAATAAACCCCTATCATACCACTGCAATACTTACTCATGGGTGGTCATACTTCCGTTACAACCAAATCCTAGAAATTATCATCTCTGAGCAAACATAATTCCCTTATATCATCAAATCTCTGTTATCCCTAAATTTTAAAGTTTTTGTTAGGATTGTAATTCAAATGAAATCTATACCCTACAGTGTACTGCTATTTCTTTAATCTCATTAATCTATAGGTTTCCTCATTTTTTCCTATCAGTTCTTCTCATGACAAAACTATACCATATTCTGGTTTTATGGTCACAGTCCCAAACTGTTATGTCCCCGTGTTCCTTGTATTTTTGTAAACTGGATCTAGAGGTGAACTGTAACTCACTTTTCCATGAAAATACTCCACAGATGTTATCTGACGTTCCCATCAGACACATATAATGTCTGGTTGTCTGCCTTACATTCCCTTTCTTTTGCTTTCTTACACAAATGCACACACACAGATACTTTTCTGAGTCTTCAGGTCCTTGATAAAAGTCATGTAAGTTCCTCTGACAAATTATTCACTCCTAACATTTCTAAATCTTAACCTGAAGTACACACAATGAATTTCATTCTTTAGGCAGAATCAGCCGCCAAATAGATACAAACATTATCCATCCTGATTCTCACCAACCGTCTTTGTTTGCACTGATGATTTCTCTTAGTGATTCAGCTACCCATTTAACAGCATTTAATATGCTAATATTTAGGCCTAAAATTGTAAAGCCTGAGCTTTTTGGTATACACAAATAGAACAAATAATATTCTTTGTAGTTTAAATTTCAGTTTGGGAAACAGTATACACACATATATTTAGAACATAATTTGGGGGAAAATGTATATTTGAGAAAATCAAAACAAAGAAAATACTACTCTAGAGTTTGTTAACTGAATGAAGACTCGCCAAGAGAATGCATCCTGACTGGGCTGCAGGAAAACGTAGGGACTGAAGTAAAGAGAAGTTTCAACCATTACCTGTCACTGACTGATCTCTTCCCTCTCTAATTCTGCTTAAATGGTGAAGCTTTACGATACGAACGTTTCTGTAACTGTCATAGCTCCTTGGCCAATCCTAAATAATAAAACGAATAATGGAGTACAGGCTTCCTTCTGCAGTTTTCTCTGGATTCTTTAGCCGGAACAGACAAGCATTACATATTTGTTGCACTGAAGTGATCTGAACTTGTGCATGGTGATTTTTAATACTACGGAAGGTATTAAATTACCATTCTCTGCCACCTGCTATCTCCTCTGCTTTCCATTACTTTGTCAAAGGTGAAACAGAAGCACTGGAACACTTTGCAGTGCTCCTCCTTTCTAGTGAGGAGATTGTGTTTAACTCTCTTCACTGTAATGCCACGGAAATTTCCCTTTTACCGAGGAACTCAATAATGCAAGTTCATTTTGCGCCTTGTGTCCAAATCCTTTCGCACCTGGTTATAGTTGTAGCTTTGCCTGTTACAGTGAAGTGTCACACCTTTCTCTCAAAGGCTAATATTTGAAAGGACAACACCACAGAGGCTTCCTGACACTTGAGACTTCTTGCCCGTCATGTTTTACAATCTCTGAAGTGGTAAATGTTCTTACTTTTGTAAAAAAGTTGAGTGGACCTGTTCTTAATTGACCAGTGAATGTTCTGAATAGAAGCAGAGCAGTTTTTTTTAATTCTTCACTGAATGTAATGCTTATGACTCAGTTCTCTCTTTCATACATTTATCTTAACAGGCAAAGCATAAGACCTTGCTGGGCCAAAATAATTAATAAAATAATAAAATTAAAATTTCATTAACTCTTAATGAATACATTGTTAATGCAAAAGACTTCAAATAATTTTTCTATTGATTTAAAAATAAAATAAAAAAGCTGTCCCTGAAAGAAAAAAATAGTACATATAAACAAAATTTTGTGTAATTAAAATTTAATCATTAAGAATCTATATATTGTGATTATAGCCGTTAATATGGTCAAATATCATAACTTTATTAAAATAGAAACTAGTCCAGTTGGATTATTTAACAAAGAAGCTAAAATTATGAAACTGTATATTCATTTGGGCCAATTAGCTTTTCATGGGCAAAGCTTGTTCTGTAGAGAAGTGTGCTGCATAATTTTTCTGCTTCCATAAATTTTCCAAGAAAAGTATGAATGTCTCAGAACAAAATTAACTGCTATGCTGCGGGCAAAGTAACTGAAAATTACAGGTGTTCTACAAATAATAAGCAATATACTAATAATTTGGAAGAAAAAATACATTTTATGAAGGAAAAACACATTAGATACAACTTAGTCAAACCAAAGAGGGCAACAAAAATAAAACCATGCAAAATAAAATTACGAAGGTTAACTGAATTCCTGTGGAATGCAAAACAGGATCTCCTGAGACTGGTCTATGTTATAAAGCTGTGCTCCCCCAGTCATACTGTGTAGAACACTATACCCTGATGGTGGGCAGAATGAAGTGTACTAGAAGTTGTATGGTTGGTAATTTGGAGCCTTCTCAGAGATTTTAATGCCAAAATTTTCAATAAGGAGCAAATATAGTATTTATTAAATTTGTTTACTAAACAACTTTTCACAGAGAACTAGTATGGAATGAAAACATTTTGGGAAGTGCCTTGGAAAAAGTGAATGCTTTTGGGGGCTAAGTCCCTTGGATATCTTAATATGACTTAATTTAACCAACAGCATTGAGCTGCAACAACATTAAGAATCCGCATCGTGGGGCTGGGGATTTAGCTCAGCGGCACAGCGCCTGCCTGGCAAGCGCAAGGTCGTGAGTTCGGTTCCCGGTACCGGAGAAAAAACAAAAAAAAAAAAACAAAAAAAAGAATCCGTGTCGTGAATGAGTGAAGGGGTAAGTACACAGAACGAGTACAAGTTATGTCTTAGTACACATCCATAATGGTGAACACAAACTCCAGGGAAACCACTCATCAGCACTCCCCTACTTTCAATTTTCCTTGAGGATTTACATTTCCAATTCGTATTATTTCACCTAAACTTACTTAAAAATTCTGCACGTTCTGCAACAAAGCAACTGCAAGAATGGAGGCAAAGCTAACTTTCTACTGCTTACAGAAAGTGATGTTTATTCTTTTGGTCTCATGCTGGTTCCTTCTCTCTGATAAAACTCATTGAAGTGTTAATCTTTCCACTCCAACTTTTATAGACCATATTAAAAAGAGTCACAGTTGCCTTATAAAGACACTTGCTTGAACAAAAAAATACGTAACTGAAACAGAGGTTGGAGAGTTTAATCGTTTGTACAGAGCTGGCAGACATTTTCATACAGGGCCAGAAGGCAAATGTTTTAGAATTTGTGCGCCACACGGTCTGTGAGATGGTTACCCAACTCTGTTGCCTTAAAGCAGCTCCCCACTACGCGCCCACACACTGCGCACAGCTGCCTTCCACGCCAGTTAGGGTAGAGATGTGAATTTCATGTACAGTACTTTTCACATGTCACAGAATTATTCCAAGCTTTTCAACCTCTTAAAAACGTAAAAGAGATGCGATGCTCCTGGGCTGTAAAAAACACAGATGCGGCTCTTGGGCCATAGTTTTTCCAGCCTTCGTTTATATTACTAGGATGGCTGAGTATTAGGTCAAATGTTTGAGAGACAGACCTGGATTTGAATCTGTTGCCTGCCTGCTAACTGTACGATAGTAGACAATTTATATAATCTTTTTCTCAGTCTTCTCAGTTTAAAATAATTCCTATGCCAAATATTTTGTGAGCGTTAGTATCTTGTACACACCTTGAATAGTGCTTTATACATAACAAGTACAAATAAATGGTAATTATCAGTCACAGATTAATACTACTATTGTTACTCATAATAAATAAATCATTTTAGTTAATGCTCAAGTCTCTTTATCTACAAGACAGGAAAACCTGCTCAACCAAAATCACAGAACTGCTACTATAGGCAAGTATGGTGGGAATTCACCACGCACCAGTCCACCTTCTTACGTCTAGACTGATTTTCCAAAAATACAAATCTGGTTTTTTTGGGTTTTTTTGTGTGTGTGTTTTTGGTTTTTTTTCCGGTACTGGGAATCGAACTCACGACCTTGTGCTTGCCAGGCAGGCGCTGTGCCGCTGAGCTAAATGCCCCGCCCCCCAAAACTACAAATCTGATCTTGTAGCAGAAACCGCCTTCCCACACAGCCAGTACACTTCAGTTTCTGTGAGTTTCCCAGGTACCAGTTCCTGTTACTTCTGTATCTGAGAAACACTTGGTCACTGTGACGCATACTGTAAGAACGAATCGAAGACAGCCAAGTACTCTGCCTCTTTGCTTCCCTTTGAGCCCCACAAAGACCTCCCTCGCTCGGCCTTCAAGGCCTGATGCTCTGGGAGCGATCCCCATCAGTGTCCACTGACGTAAATACACCTGCCTCCAAATCCTGGGTGCCGGTTCAGTGTTTCTGTTTGCCACTGCAGTCTTACCACGCTATTATTCTAAATTCTTAGTGGCTTCCTACCAGCTATAAAGTGACCTAAACTCCTTGGCACTGCAGTCAGCTTCTCGTACTTGGTCTCGGTCCTTTCTGAATTATTTCCTACAAGTGTTCCACGTGAACCATACACTACAGATATACTACACCAGCAGTTCCCAGGAGAACTTAATTTCTTTCCTCCTTCCACGTATTCACATCTGCAGCCCTGTCTATGTCTTACCTTCTACCTTTTTTGAATTTGTCCTTAAACTCCATTACTTCTATTTTACGTCACAGTTCAAGAGAGGTTGCTATCGCTCTGTGAGAGGCAGCTTTGACTTGCCCTCCTCTGTTCATACGTGGGAGAGTTGAGGCGTCTCTGATTTGTCAAAGCTCTACTACATAAACCTATATAACTGCAATTCTAATTCTGAACTATAATGGTGTCTTCTTTCAGTCAAGAAGACTTTCGGATGTGAGAAGTTTGTTTATCTTTGCAGTTTCAGTGTGCGGCATAGTATCTTGTATATAAACATTCAGCAAGTATTTAATGATGAATGAACGCACCAGTAAACTCTAAAGCACTATATGAAAAAAGGCAATTATACAGGATTAGACTTACTGTGTGTTAGACACTGTGCTTTTCATACAACCTAATAATGTGCTGGCTTTGTCCACAGCACTGCACTCCGGATGTGCATTAGTTTGTGGTCAGTTGGCTGGGTATTTCTCCAGGCCGTAGCCTTCATTTGCTCTAGTCACTTTCCATGTTCCATTTTTATTGGTAGGGTTTTTTTTAGCAAACCAGTTAATACCGGTACAACTATTTTATCTCCTCCAACAAGGTCATTCCATGAATTTCACTCCACAGAATTAATACCACACAATTTGGATTCATTACAATTCATCTACATCACATACAATTTCAAAAGATACAGCTAAAACCCTTGGCAAATTCTATCCTCAATTTTTGTATATAACTTTCAATTTAGTTCACAAACCTAAGATCAAGAAATGTATTATCTGTAATTTACCAGCTTTCGGTTGTAATTTCATACTATTAATAGAAAGACTGAAATAAAACAAATATTAACTTCTATTCATCCAGCTCACTCTAATACTAGGGAAATCTGATACAGGAGGAAAACAGGCCTCATAATAATGCGTATGCTCTTTTAGGTTAGACGGTACTCTGAGCAATGATTGGTAATTATTTAGGTTTTCTTTTTCATTCTTTAAAATATTCAGATGCTTTTGATTTTTAGAAAGAGAAACTATTACTGGAAAATTCAATGTTATTTTCCAGTGACAAAAATGTATTTTTGTAGCGAGCCGTACACGAAATAGCTTTTACTCATTAGATGCAGGATGAAATTGTATTCACTATATTCATACTTACATTCTTAAACTTAGTGGTTAAGAATAAGTTATATGTACAGCCATGTCCTGCCTTAAAGGTATGTACGGCTTGAAGTTCTACTGATGAAAGCTCGCTCGGTAACTGGAAGTTCTCTCTTCATTTGTCTATCAGCTGCACAACTGCCACGGTGTGTTACACCGTAACTGTGTGTTACACAGTTCAAAACACACATTTACCCTTTGGTTTCTTTACTCTCTGTGTGTCTGTGGGAAGTTTTCTAACCTGCACGGACACATGTTTACTTATTTGAAAGTGAGAATACCTGCTTTGAGAAGTACATATGGTACATGGAGCACCTAGTGCATTTCTGAAAATAAGGAACACAATACACGGCAGCTCTTCACATTAGACTTTTTCCTTATACGGTTATACGTTCTTTAGAAATTAAAACTGTTACTCTTTTTAAAACAAAATATTTTTAAAATACCCTTTACATGTAAAAAAATATAAGGATAAAATACTTTGACTGAAAATTTACTCAAATGCAGTAACATAAGAAAGGAAACAAAAAACTGACAGGCCAAGAATACATCTTACTGAAAAGAGGAAAATCTAACCGTGAATGGATAAGTTAAAAATTGTGCCTGTTACTGAAGTATTACCTGTGGAATCCAACCCATGAAACAAGGAAGAACTGATGACACACTCGGAGAATCATCGTGATTTTCAGAAAGCCGATTACCATCAAAACTGCATCCTTCCAGTAATAAGCCACTGACCTGCCACGGAAAACACATAAATCATTGAAAACACATTAAATTCTGAAAGATCAGGAGTTACCGTATTATATCTTGAGTACAAAGGCTACACTTTCCGCTGTGGTGGTAGATCCTCAATACTATGAAGAGGATTAAAGCATCTGCTTGGAATAGAAAGATCTGGATCAGTGCTTACTATGAGATTTCTTTAGACTAGATTCCCATTTTTAGTTAATATTTTAGTTCATATTTAGACATAAATATGAACTAAAATGTCTTCAATTATTTGCTTTGGCATTAAATTATGGAAATATAACAACAAAAACGTAATTCAAAAATATATCCTCTTTGCTTGGAATCTTAACATTTAAAAAAATAAATAAAACAAAACTCAGAATGTTTAAGGAGAAAAAAATTCACATGCCATGCAGAAATGAAAGAATAAAAAGGAGAAGGAACATCTTCCTAAGGTAAGTTTGGTGCAAATGGAAGAAACCCTGAAACTAAAACTGCAGTTCTTTGGTAATAGGAGCTTCGTATTTCTCAGTGTTTACTTTCTTAGTTTTCCAGTGCTACCTTCACCTACACAAAGGCAGTAAGTGAAACGTTTTTTGGGTCTGAGTTCTCAACCCTCAGCCTTCACAGCCACACCTGTGTTCTCACAGGTTGTACTTGGTACCATATACAATCTTGCAAATATCACTAAGTTTTAACATACTACAGATGATCGTAATGCTTCAACCTCCAAGTTTTCAACTTTACAGTAATGCAAACACAATGCACTCAGTAGAAATCACACTTTGAATCTCTCCTTGGGCTACAGTATGTGGTAGGATAATCTCTTGCAATGCTGGGCAGCTGCCGCTCCAGCACTACATGATCACAAAGCTAAAGAACCGATAACTATAGTGTACATCTGTGTTGCTAAGCTGTTATGTTCAGTAGGTTAGGGGTATAGTAAATGCATTAAATGCATTTGGCTTAATATTTCTAACTAAGTGAGTTAATTGGGACATAACCCAGTCATAAGTTGAGGAACATCTGTAAATGAAGTGTAGAATGTCAGATGAAAGAAGCACACCTTAAGTTGGAAAATCTATGACAATTTTCAGCTACATTATTCTTGGGAAATTAGGTACCAGGATGTAGTAGGAGACCATATTTTAATAGTTTCAAATATCTCATTAATTTTATACTACAGTTGTTATCTCATGGAAAATGTAATGGTTGATACACTGTATCAACTTGAGAATTGAGAAGTTTAGAAGCTTAACTAAGTGATTCAGCAGGGAGTCGGGGTCCTTACTTTGTAAATATCCTGAGCCTGTGCCAGAGGAGGGCACAGAGATGGTGTGGCTGGGTAGCAGCATACAATATAAGGGAAGAGAAGATGCTTACTCTTCCCTTTTTTGCTCTTGCTGCTTTTGCTGTCTTCTGCCACCTTGAAGTGTTGCCTTTGTTGGGCCCTGCCACCCTGCCTTGGAACCAGCTGATTATGGACTGAAACCTCCACAAACTGTGAGCTAAATAAATCTTTCCTTGCTTAATTTTGGATGTCGGGTATTTTGTCTCAGCAACATGAGAAAATCAAGACAGAAAATATAAGCAAGTTGGTTGTTAATGAAGGGGTTGGGGATATAGCTCAGCGGCACAAGTGCCTGCCTGGCAAGTGCAAGGTTCTGAGTTTGATTCCTGGTGCCAAAAAAAAATAGAATTACGTAATACTTAGGTTTAATATTCTTTCTACTATGCCACTGATGTAATATTCAAGCCAAGATAAAGTGTCCTAAATATTTCTACTTTAAAATGTAAGTTGAAATTAAAGAGTTCTAATTTAGTGCTAGAAACTCACCAAGCCAGATACTTCTTCTGAGGTCTCTTGAAATTTCATCAAATTTTACTTTAATACTATATAGAAATTTGTAAAGTAGACTCCACTGATAGTTCTCCAAAAGAACTAAGATACAAACTCATCATTTTCTTCATCTAGCTGGGGGGAAGTGGGAGGGTGCATGTGGGAAATACTATTCCCTAAGACTTTACTTCTGTAATTGTCACAATTGACCGTCTAGTTGCCTCATCAAAACCTAGGGAAACATCCTTTGCTCCTGGGGAATTCCCTACATCACAGATGGAAAACCGTTTTGAGTGCACCCGAAACCCACTTATCCACTGCAAAGTGCCAATACTTCAATTTAACCTGAACACTGAGGTTTTAGTTTAGAAGAAACCATCTGTACGCTTGGCTCTGGCACTGACAGACAGCTCTGCGCACCCCTGCAGCACACGTGGCATAGGCTCGCCTCCACCACCCCATGTGCTGCCGCCCACCAAGTCCCGCCCGTTTTCAATGGTACATTCTGAGTCTGTCCTTTTTCTTTTTCCCTACGCCCTCTGTAAGTGCCCTAGTTTGCAAACCATCAGTTTTGGAGACATTTTTATTTAGGTGCTTCGTCTATTTTTTAATTTGGTTGTCATTTGATTAAAGAGTTATTAAGAATTCTTCATTAGATTCTACATCTAAGTTGCTTACATACATGATTTGTGACTACAGTTTCTCATTGGGTGGGTCAAAATACACTATTTCTAAACAAGTTTAAGGGTGTTATAGCTTATGAAGAACACAAAAATTTTCTGGATTTAAAAATATATTTTAATACAAAGACAAGATAAGTATTAAAACATTTTATGCTTGCAAGATGCTGTCATAGTAGAGACTTGCTATTGGTTTTGCCTATTAAAAATTCAGTCTTACTTCTGGTGCTAGCTTCTGGCCCCTACTCTTTGTATGGATTTATTCCTCCTCCACTAGTGGACCAGAAATAGGACAGTCAGCCGAAAGGCCTTCTTCCCAGCAGCGGGTGAGGGGTGGGGTCCATGTCACGAATCCGCATCTTGCGTGCCGCAGAGAAGGGTTTGGGCCGGCCCTCTCCAATGGTGCGCTGTGAGGAACCCGCTGTGCAGTGCTGCACTGGAATCAGTGTTCCCAGAGATGTTCTGTTCATGTCCTTTTTGAACTTGCTCCTTCAGCTTTTCCTGTGAGCTTTGAGTCACTGAACATCGCCACAATAATTTATTCTCTCCTTAATACCTAGAGTTACTTTCTTCCAGAAAGCCTTTTTTGTTCTATAACATTTATATATATTTATGAAATTCAGTGTGATGTTTGTTTCCTGTGTACACTGAGTGGTTATCAACTCAACAAATTAGCGTGCCCATCCCCCCAAACTTCTGTCATCTCTTCACGGTGACAGCGCCGAACCCTAGACGTAGATCCCCACCGACACTCTTTAGGGTGAACACAATTCTTCTGCTTCGCAATATATCCTGCTCTACCGTTAATCACCTCCACCCTGCTGTGCTGTAGAGCCCCAGACCTTAACCCTTCTCCCGCGGCGAGGAGGAACTCTAACACACCCGCGGTGGGCACGTGAGTCAGCACGGCCCCTCTCAGTTTCGCATCCCAGCGGGAGTTACAGTAGCAGTAACAGTGGCTTTGTTTGATCCAAAAGAAATCAAAGCCGGTAATTTATTTTATACACAATGCTGTGTTTCTTGAATGCTTCCAGTTTTAATTTAAAGTTTGAGTTTTATTTTAATGTTATTACATAGCTTTACTTACCCGAAATCTTTAAAAACTGAAAACTATTTCAAACACACAGAACATGTTCGGGATAGTTTTAGAATCTACACCTCCCTATCCACTTGACTTGACTAGCGCACAGACATGTCCATGTCATGGCTTTAAGCAAATAAAGCCTAACACGGCTGGTGACTCATTCCTCACCTTCTCCGTTACTGTTCCTGGCTCACTCAGCCTTGTCCTTATCCAGGACGTGACAGATGACTGCGACTCTGTCCTTGTAGCAGTAAGCAGCACTTTCATCTTTCTAGATGCACTTGCATCTTAAGGGAAACGTGCTTTAGATACTATTTTGTACCCTATTCTTTTTATCACTGCTTTTAAGGTATAACCACTTTGTTCTTTCATTTCTAATAGTTGTACAACATTTCATTTTATTAACAGACAAGTTATTCATTTTCTGCTGATTATATTTAAGTTATTTCCAATGGTTATTACTGAAACACTGCAATAAAAATTACGTATGTGCTTCTTTGTGCACATTTGCCTGAGTTTCTGTGGGTGCAGAGATAAAACTGCTAAGTTGAAGGCTATACTCAGTTCAAATTTGCTTATATTGGCAAATTATTCCCCAAAGTAATTCTACCAGTCTATATTGCTGCTTGCCATGTGTAAGAATTTACATTGTGTCATAGCCTTGCAGCGCTTAGCCTACTGAGACATAAAATTGCCAATCAGAGGGGCTGGGGATTTAGCTCAGCGGCAAAGTGCCTGCCTGGCAAGTGCAAGGTCGTGAGTTCGGTTCCCGGTACCGGAGAAAAACCAAAAAAAAAAAAAAAAAAAATTTGCCTATCAGAGAAACATGAAAAGAAACCAAATTCTGGGCTTAATTTCATTTCTCCAATTGTAAGTGAGAACAAGTATTTTTCCTGGTGTTTATTAACCCACTAAGGTTTTCTCTTCTCATAAATTTCCTATTAAAATCCTTTGCCAACCTCTTTCTACTATGGGAATGGTTTCTAAAGACTGATTTGCAGAAATCCTTTGTTCTGTACACTGCTCTGTCCCTTCCTCCCTTGTCGAAGCCTGGGCTCCAGCTCACAACCCTCTCGCCTGTGCCTCCCCGAGTGCTGAATTCCAGACGTGCACCACGTCCAGCTCCTTTGTCAGTCACTTTAGAAGTACTTCCAAGTCTGTGACACTTTTTATGGGTGTGTTTTTAGTTTCAGCACAGCAGATTTATCAGCTTTTTCCTTTAAGGTTTTTACTTTGTGGAGCCTTAAAAAAATCTTGAATACAGACATTTTTCCCTATTTTTATTTCTAAAAATCTTTTTTCTTTTTTTTAATCTTAAAGGTAAGAAAAGCCTAACAAAACAACAATGAAAATAAAATCAAAGCAACACAAAAACAACAAAAATGATACAATGACCTCAAAACAAAATGATAGGTATTAACAATGGTTGCTGCATTACATACTGTTATCTTCAACGAAGTTGCTCTGTCCACCAGACATAAGAATGTAAGATTGATCAAACAATCAAAGACAGTAACAAATAACAACAACAACAACAACAAAATTGGAAATGATGCAGAGCTTCACCACACAAGATGGTAGGAGCTCAACAATGGTTCTTATACTGCCTATTGTTGGTTTCAGATCAGTCATTCTGATTACCAGATTCAAGTGTGCAAAATTGGTCAAGGAAAAAGGAAATTTTAAGCATTAACTGTTCCTTTCAATAAACTACAGACATCAGCAATGCACCTATCCCAGCTATCCTTGTATATACATGTGTAAACATCATATTTCCTCCCTACTATAAGAACCTGAAAGAGTACATAAATCTGAAAGGTACAATAGATATTGTGAAAGGGAAAAGAAACTGCTCAAATAGGAAGGAGCAACTGGGAGAGGGGAGAGGAAAAAGAAGGAAAAAAGAGAAAAGGAAAAAAGCCCAAAATAATAAAAATAAATACATAAACAAAATAGCATAGAGAACAATAAAAATGATACAGAATTTCAAAACAAGGGGATAGGATATTAACAATGGCTATTATATTACATAATGTCATCTTCAAAATAGTTGCACATATAACCAAATATAGGCATGCAAGATTGATCAAACAATTGCACATTAACAGTTCCTTTCAATAAACCAACCGATATTAGTAGTACAATGATCCTAGCTATCCTGTATATATATATATATGTTTTTTTTTTCTCTTCCTTCTTTTTCCTCTCCCCTCTCCCAGTTGCTCCTTCCTATTTGAGCAATTTCTTTTCCGTTTCACAATATCTATTGTACCTTTCAGATTTATGTACTCTTTCAGGTTCTTATAGTAGGGAGGAAATACGATGTTTACAAATGTGAATCTGAGTTATTTCACTTATGACTATGGTCTCTAGTTGTATCCATTTACCTATAAAGCCTCTAGTTTATCTTTCTTTATAGCTGAATAATACTCCATGGTATAAAAATACACCTATTTATCCATTCCTCAGTTGATGGGCATTTGGGTTGTTTCCAAGACTGAGCTATTACAGATTGTGCTGCTACAAACAGGAGTGCACATATACTGCTGTGGTATGATGTTTTTAGTTCTCCTGGAAAAATACCCAGGAGGGGAATAGCTAGGTTGAATGGGAGCTCTAATCCTAGTTAAAAATCTTTTTTCAAAAAGTTTTATTTCTGTTAACTTTGTTTTTTATGTCTTCAGAATCAATTTTTATTTATAATATAAAGAATAAACCAAATTTTTATCATTTTCTATTAGCAATTGTCTCAAGATAACCTATCAGAGAACCCACACATCCCCCCAATTTGCAGGGACTGCCGCATCTTTCACATGTCAAGTTTCCCTAGCAGGCACAAATCTGCTTCTGCACCGGTGTTCCCTTAGTCCCTCTGTCTTTCCCTATGTTAATATGACAGCTCAGTAACAGTGTAACACTGTGGTGAGTTATAAATCGTATGGCCAAAATTTCCTCCCATTTCAGTATGCAAACCTCTTTGTACGGAAGTTTTGCTATTGCTTCTGTTGGGAGGTGGAGTTGCTTTTCTGTCTCTTGAATTTAGGGTGGGATTGATAACTTCCTTTGAGCAACAGAATGTAGGTGAAAGACCCTAAGCAATTTCTAAAGCCAGGCTTTAAAGGCTTTGTCCTCTTCAAATGCTGCAGCGATATAAGGCGGCTCATCTCGTCTGCGGGAGCGCGTGAAGCCGTGTGGGGAAGGGCCAAGGTTCCTCAGTCCACAGCTAGCACCAGTTTCCAGACATGTGAGGGAGGCCCGCATGGCCTTCCAGTCTAGCTGTCCTAGCTGAATGTAGATGAAGACTGAGTTCCAGGTATTAAAATTCCGAATTTTGTTGAAATTGCCTTAAAGTTTTAAAATTGATTTTGGAAAGTTGTATTTTTAAAGTAGCACATCTTATATATGAACATTGTTAACCTTTTTACTATTCAGTACTTTCATGTAATTTTCCGTTTTTTTCCTCAAATTAGCTGTGTTGCCATAATTTAGGTCTGTACTTTTAAATAGCACATAATTAGATTTATTTTCCCCAAGGTGATAATATTTTAACTGGTGGGGTTAATATTTTCGCATCAGAAGACTGTGTTTTGTATTAAATCTTAAATTACTTGGAATATATTACGTATGTGGAAAATCATTCCCTGCCAATCTTACAACTGTAAAGATAGCTGAGGACTTTCAGAATCTCTTTTCTTGGTGTGATACATTTTTAAGCTCAGATAAACATCTAAAATTAGTACCTTAATTTGCAGCTTTGCTTCTTGAAGTCGACCTTTCCATGAGGCTACAAATTTAAGGCTGTCCACAGAATGACCCATTGCTCTGGAAAAGTAAAGCATCAAAAGTCACAAAAAATTCTCAGGTGTCTCAGGGTGTGCAGCTCTGTGGTAGAGCATGTGATTGTGCTTAGCATGTGTGAAGCCTCAGGCAAAATCTCAGAATCAAGAACTAAACCCTCAGTATTGATTATAATAACTGAAGACAGATGCAAGTATATTGTTATTTAAATTGAAATATTTGCAATGTACAGTAAGATATGTTATACCTATCTGATTTTACACTGTCTTTACAGTTAGCTGTTTACATGACAGTCCTTAAGTTTAGCATCTTCTTCATTTCCCTGTTCTACATTTTGACCATGACCCTCAAACACAGGCCTATTATAGGTGTTCAGTAAATATTTCTTAGCAAAACTGAAACCGATAATATTCTAAGACTATATCAACTAAAATTGCCAGAGTCATTAAGTAAATAAATTTTGTTCAGTATATATCTGATACTTTTATTACTCTTTAACTTGTTAAAAATTACAGTCTAAACATGATACAGCAATCAAAATCCGGTATAAAAAAGGAATTTGATCTTAAGCATGAGATCCTCTTTTCTACCAAGAAGCTTCCTCACCATTGTCCAATAGAATTTTCTAGATAAACATGCTGGTGTGCAGTCTAAAATGGCAGCCACATGTGTGTATTGAGCACCACAGGACATGGTTAGTGTGACTAAGAAACTGAATTTTTAATCATTAAATTTTAATTAAATTTAAATACTTTCATGTGAGTTCTGGCTACCATATCAGTTACCAGAGGTCTAGATAAATAAATGGCCAAATTTTAAAAGTTAAATTTCATCTTTATTCAGCTCTAACAAAACATAATAATTGAAAGCAATGTGCTTTTTAAAAAGTTAATGATAGTTAAAAGTAAGGTATTAGGGAATAACATAACTGTCTGGAGGTCAACAAAACATTTTTTTTCTTGACAAGCAAGATGGCATGACCAGAAGTGAAAAAAGCAAAATATTATCACCTTCGGGGACAGCCAAGTATTCCGTGTTTAATTACCTTGCAGTTTCCTGGCGAAGAGCATTAAGAAATGTGTCTGGATGGAAGAGTTCAGACAGATCAAGAGTATCAGAGAGAAGGGTCTGATTTTCGGCTCGCTCGACCCAGTTCTAGAGAGGGAAGGACATTTATATAAATATATACATACATTCTTAACAAACCAGAGAATTATTACGTATAAGTCATTTTCTACGAGAACTGCTTCCAAATCCCCTAAACGATGCCTAGGGAAAAACAGATTCCCACTTTGCTCGTGGCATGATGTCGGGGAAAATGGAACTTTTCACTCTGATGCCCGCTGCTGACGCCCTTCTCCCTTTCCGGTACCCACTACACCCGGGCCTGATAAGCACACTGCATCACTGCATCCATCCTGGTATCTTACTCCCTGGCCAGCGGAGGCCACCCAGATACGCAGAGAGGTAAACCTGCTGCCTTTGTTCTGCTCCCGTAGCTTAGCTTGCCTGCCTCTTCCCGTCCCAGGCCCTGTGTACCGCTCTCGTATCCCAGGCTCGGGGCTCAGGCTTCGGAGTGCGGAACTCCCCCGGGCCCACCCGCATAACGAAGCTTTGTGCCCTCCCTTTCTCTGAGTGCTGCTCGGTTTCCTCGCCGCTGGTAAACCTAAACTTGCTGTAGCAACAGTAACTTTAAATAATACCTGCGCTCCTCATAAAGAAGTTTCCTTGTACAACCCTTTTGTGATTAAAAAATGAGTCCCACATAAAAAGTCTGAACGTGGAAAGCAATTCTGTGCACAGAATTTCAGTTTGGGCCCCACTTCCAGCGACGACCTATCTCGCGGCGCCGCAGGAGAGACCGAGCATCCGGGTCCAGCTCCAGGACCCGCAGGCTGCCCCTGCGCTGGCACTGCACGCCGAGTCAGGCTCCGGGTCCACGTCTCGGGGTAACTCTGAACCAAGCCTAAGTGAAGCGTCATGTCCGAGAAGACGTAATTCTTTGTCAACAGCTGCTTTAAGGTGGTATCTTGTATTCATCTGCCATTTTATAAATCAACCTAAACCCCATTTGAAGTAATACCTAGCTGCATGAGGTATGTTTAACAGATATTTTAAAAACTGCCTCTTGGAACAAAAACATCTTTTTGCAGTACCTAAGTACTTCAGTGGTTTTCACGTATTACCTGACTTTGTGCTCACTACCACCCTGTAAGTTAGGATCTCCCTTTCAGAAGAGAAAATGGAGTACAGTGACATCAAAGGTCTTGCCCTAGGCCACACAGTAGATGCTGGAATCTGGGAATGAACTCTGGTAGCCTTAAGCGATTTGTTTCTCCTAATTCCTGCAGGTGCTAATTTTTTTTAAGGTGCTGTCTTAGTCACTGTCCTTGCCGAGACGCAGTACCTGGCACCCACAGCTTGGAGGAAGGCAGGTTTACTTCCGCTCACATTTTCAGGCTGTGGTCAGCTGGTTCCAGGGCAGAAAGGCCGCGGTGATGGCGCAGGAGCCTGGAGCTGCCGGCGCACCTCATGGCAGCCGGGGAGCAGAGAGCGAGGGGCGGAGGCAGGGAGGGAGCCGTTTCCTTCCCGCTCAAGCCCCCGGTGACCCACCTCCAGGCGGGCCCGCCTCCTCACAGAGCACTGAGCCCCCGAACCCATTGCGGGTGGAGCCCCATCCCCGCTTCCGAGCTCACAGAGCTTGGGGGGTACTTCTGATCTAAACCGCAACACATGCCTCGACAGACAACGGCACACTCATGATTTCTAAATCAGCTCGTTACTTCAGCTGGTGCAGATGGTAGCTACTACAGTAATGCCAGCCGTTAAAAACTTAGAAATTTTTCTTTTACTGAGTAATTTATTTCGCATGATTTATAAACAGTCAAGGAAAAATTATGCTTACTTATTACTTTTATAGAAAGGATGTGTTTTATGTACTGTAATCCACCTAAGTATTAACATTCCTCCACCAAGACCAGAACAGGAGCAATTAAAATCTTTTATAGCCCCTGTGTTTGCATTAATATCTAAATGCGTTTCATTAGTAATCAATTCCTTCAGCAAACCATTCTATATCCTTCTTACCAATGGATAACTGATTCATTTTCTGTGTGGAAAAGATTTTAAGAGATCTCCTTAATCACATACACTTTTTTTCTCAGACATTAACTTTTATAGTAACATTTCACAAAATATTCTCACTTAAATTACACACAGCTAATTTTTTCACTTCCTACCAAATAATTCTTTTCCTTAGTTGAATAGTAAAATAATTACTTACATCACATTTAAAGAGTAAATAAAATCCACAAAGTACAATAGATATAGTGAAAGGGAAAGAAACTGCTCAATAGGAAAGAACAAAATAACTGGGGTAACCTAAATATACCAGCTATACCCACAGGGGTATAAAACTCCTCTGTCATTCTCATGCATACTTATGAAATGTATATGTAGACACAAAGAAAAACTTGTACTTCATCCTCTTAGTCATAATAAAGTAAATTTAACATCTTAGGTAAAAATCTTCAATACATGGTACTCAGGGAAAATGGTTAACAGCTACAGAAAACAATTTCAACCTTCAACTCACATTCTGACAACAGAGCTACTTAAAATTCAGAATAGAGTATTATGCCATGGGTTAATGGGGGAAAAACACTTAGATGAGGAAAAGAAGATTGTGTAGGTGATTACAGTATGGTGAATTTTAAAAAAGAAAAGATTTAGGTTAGATTAAATAAAAGTAAAAAACACTATATTAAAATATACCTACCATAAATATGAAAATGAATTAGTAACACAATGGTATATTATTTATATGTTTATAAAGATATAATCATCTCCTGTAGTTATGTACAATTCAGACTTTTTGCTCATCAGAATAGTAGAAAGAGAAATAATATCAAATGCTAGTAAGTGTGCAATAGGCACAAAATTTGTGTAGACATACACTAGTTAAAATTTCTATAAAATGATTTTATAAATATCTCAAAATGTTTAAATATATTAAAAACCTTTTATTCAGTCGTTCCTTTTCTTAGAATGTAAATTAATAGGTTATTACCCATCATGTGCTCATTTAAAATTACTTCTAATACTAAGAAATTAGATGCATAAGTATAATAGAAATTGGTTGATTACATTATATTGCTACAATCAAGAAATTAAACAGCCAATAAAACACTTATTTGAAGAATATTTAATGACAACAGAAATAGTCATAATCTACTGTGTTTATAAGAACGTAAAATGTATATATAAATATTATAAACCTAATTGGGTAAAATGTTATTCTAATAACATAAAAAATATTGGAGGAAAATATCAAAATGTATCATTTCAATAGGTCTGGCCTATAGCCTGTTAATGATTATCTTCATTTACATGTAATAGTAATTATGTAGTTTAAAATGCAATGCATTAATAAACTGATACCATTCTATTTTGTTTTAATGTGCTGTGTTCCTTATAAAATGTTTAATGCCAAAAACAAGTAATTTAGACAATCATTCTTCATGTGTCATCTTTTTCTATGCCTTCATCTCTCTTTCCAGTTTATTAGGAGTCTGAGAATAAATTCATCAAGACTGAAATATAATTTATCCAGAATAAAAATAAGTACAGTCATTATTTTGACTGGAGTAAAAAATACAAATTATTAGCATGTTAACAGCCCTATGTGTAAGAAGTTTATCAAATCACTGGCTCAACAGATGGTAATAAACTGCAGTTCATCAACAAGACAGATTACGAAGAATTATACTAGAGTTAAAACCTCAGAATAGTTAAAAAAATTAAGACTTTCTTGCCAGAGTTTGTTGTACCAGCTTCAAGGAACAGATATACTACTAGATATTGCCATTCTTTGAGTATGAATTTATCCTAAGCCCAGGCCGGATTTATATGTATGCCATTATCATTACAATGATGTGCCCTTGGTTCACTAGTTACACTGCTAATCATAGCAAAAAAGCAAAGAAATTAAGTGTTCTCATTCAATTGTAGTCAGTAGGTTTTGAGAACAGAACGTAAAAATTGAAATTCAATATAATGAGATTGAGCTGGACTAGCTTTCTCCAGCTCTAACCATTTTTAAGTACAAGAACCTTAAACAATGTTTTCATGCCCCTTGTACTCCATATTAAGGTTATTTTGCCTACAAACTCTGGAGAACTTTAATAACTTGTACTGAGTTGACTTTAATTCTGTTCTGCATCTCTCAAATTTTAATATATTGTATTTTAACTTCTAGGTGGTTAATTTTCAAATTTTTTGACTATTTTGTTTCACCTACAGATTAAGTGAGCATTTAATTTCCAAATACTTGAAGAGTTTCCACAAATTTTTCTGGTCTTGATTTCCTACTTAATTTTATATTGTGGATGGAGAACATATTTTACATAGTTTGAATCCCATTAGAATATTTACAAAGATAGATTGCATTCTGCACTATAAAATAAGTATCAATAAATCTATGTGCAATTGAAAAAATGTATATGCTAATAATATTGGATAATGTTCTGAAGATATCAAGTTAACAGTGTTGTTGAGGTCATAGTCTTGCTGATTTTCTATTTTTTTTCAACTATTGAGAGGCAAGTGTTGAAATCTGTAACTTTAATTTTAGATTTATCTATTCCTTCTGTAAATCTCAGCTGCTCATATAAAGTGTTTTGAAGTTGTTAATTGTGTAAAAGTTTAGTAATGTTAAGTCCTTTTGATGACTTCATCCACTTATCATTATAAACAGTGGATGTTATCTCTGGTTGTCTGCCCGATAATGAAACATTCAGGACAGAATTCTTTGAGCTGCTACTAGTACGAAGTCTTACTTCCCATTGCTTTACTTTTAACAAATTTCTGTCTTTCTATTTAAAATGGAATGCCATGATGCCTTATACCCATTATAGTTGGTCTTGTTTTTTCAAATTGATAATATTTCACCTTTTAATTGGTGACTTTGAAAATACACATTAATTTGTAAAAATGCTACTTGATTATTTACTATTATTGAGTGGAAAATTAGGATATAAATTGCCGTATTTTATAGTGAAGCATTTCAGGGCTGAGCAAAATGAATTCCGTGAATAAAATTATAGTTTTAATTTGTTTATAGATTAGATTAGAATTTTTAAATGAAGATATAAAGATCAGAGTATTGATTTTCTACCCAAAATACACCTTCTTTATGTTCCCAGTAATATTTTTAATTAAACAATGTTCTAAACATACATGATAACACTGACCACAAATGATTTACAAAAGTTAAATAGGAAATTTTCTACACACTAATTTAAGGATAAATGGTAGGAAAATATATACATACATAAACAAACATTCATTCCAGTGGAAAGCACTACAGACATAATAAGTAAGCTTCCTCTTTTGCTTAAACGTAATATCCTAATTTTTCTACAAAAATATTATTATTTTATTTCAGATTTAAGCATTGACATAGCAAGCACAGATTTTTGCTCCTTAGGTGTGAAGAACATTTCTAAACCATTTTTAAATTCTGAAAGTGACTTGCTGCTTGTTAACTGTCCTTTATAATTGTTCCTCTGATAAGGGAAAAGACTAAGATTTCTTTCCGTATTTATTAGAGAACTTCAAATGTTCAAAGATCCAACTGTTTTGAATCCCATTTTATTGGGTATTATTTGGACAGCAATACTCAAACCTTGACTTAACAAAAACCTTTACCCAAATTAATGATATCTACCAGAAATAAAATATTAGCAATAAATCTAGGTGCTTCTGAAATTTAAAGAATTTCTCATTGCTTAAAAAAAATTCAGCTATAATAAATCTCTTAAGAACGAAGTCTGGCCATGTGGTCTGGAAATAAACACAGATTCTCTGGGACCAGGAAACTTACTATCCCTTATCCTACCCCTTTTCTACCTCACAGCCACGGCACCAATGCATAAAACCATCACAACCCCACTGCACTACTGCAGTAATCTAACTGGTCAGCCTGCTTCCACTCTTCTCCACAGTCCAGTGATGGTAAACCCACAGCATGAACGCCCCAGCAGGCTGTCTGCATCACTGAAAGCTCTAACAGGTGCGCCATCACTGGTCTAGTCAGTCACCCCCTGAGTAATCTTTTAATCTTCTGCTCTCAACTACCCACTCATTTCTGAACTCAGACTAAATATAAAGCCTTTAACAAGACTACATGAATCCATCTTCATAGTCCCTGGCTATCTATCCAACCTAATTTCCAGTAACGTTTCCTTGCTCTAGCCAAACCTGGCTTCCCTATTTCATTTCATTTTTAAATGTTATATATGTATTTGAATTTCCTTAATTCCGTATGTCTGCAATACATAATAGTGATGTTTATTTGGGAGAATTGGTGCATTACTGGTGCACATATCTTGATCATTTTCTACCCTCTTCCCCCCCACACGCACCTGAAACCATGTGCTCTTTAACTTCATGTGTCTCACTTAGCATTACGGTGTCAAGTTCTATCCATTTTGTTGCAAATGACGTGATTTTGTTCTACTTTATGGCTGATTAATACTCTATTGTATTTGCATACCTCATTTTCTTTATCCATTTGTTTGTTGACAGGCATCTGGGCTGTTTCCAGAGCCTAGTTATTGTGACCTGTCCTTCTATAAACATGGGTGTATACATGTATAACTATAGTATGGTGGCTTTAATTTTGGGGAATAGACATAAGAAAGCTATAGCTAGGTCAATGGCATTTCTATTTTTAGTTTTTTGAGAATTTCTATATTGATTTGCATGGTGGTTATACTGGCTTTCTTTTAAATTCCTTGAAAGGGAAAACCTATTCTTATCTCGGGGATTTTGCATGTACTGGCCCCTCTGCCTAGATTGTAATAACTAGAACCATAGTAATTATTAGTTTATATGTCTAAAATTTTATGTATTAAAACATAAGTTCATTCTAGGATGATGCTAATCCAAAAGTTTGGCTGTATATCAATCTTAGATTTCAGGATTTCACCCAAAATTTATTTTTATGTAGTTCTAGTATTAATAGATCATCTATATCCTTCACTAAAATATGGTGATTCCTGTTAGCAGGAATGTCGTATTACTGCGCTACTAGGTATTTCCCGCACTTGGAACAATGGCTCGTACATATAGAAGGTAAATGAATGCTCACAGAATTAATAATATATGTACACATATATAGATACATAGATAAGACACCCATAAGGTTATTCTTATAGTTGAGTATAATGTAAAGATAAGAATGCCATATATTTTAGAGCCACACACAGACTTTAAAATTTGTTTTTGTAAGTCCTTCTTATAATCAATGCTCATAATTTCAATGAGCACTTAGTACTGCATGTATAAAGCACTACAAAGGGGAGTTAGGAAAATGAAGAATTTTCTTTTCCAGGAATTCAAAGACCTGTAAAACTTACCAAAGTGAAATAAAAAGGATAAAACACTGCTCTTAAGGAATCCAATATTATTAGAGATCAGGGGAAAATAATATCAGCAAAGTAGACAAATAAGAAGAAAGCAAAAGTGTAAGCTGACCTAGAAAATGTAAAAGTATAAAACAGTTTCAAGGTGGGAGGGAAGGAGGAAGGGAAGGAGGGAAGGAGAGAGAGAGGCGCTATTTTTTAGAACTGCTGCTGACAGGCTACCGTATGATTAAAGCATCGGACGTGTTATAAAAAGGGCACTGCGATGTGCCTTCTCTTTTTTACTATTTAAACTATTCTTTAGTTTTTGGGTTTATATTTACCATCTTTAAAGAATCAACAATAATGTCTAGCTCATAGGTTATGAATATTACTAAATTCCATGTAAATTACATAAATGTTTAAAGTGAGAGTTGGGCTCAGTTCTTATAAATATGTATCCTTTCTACCTTTGTTTAGATCTTTTAAAGTTTAATATGTATTTTAAATACTTGACTGAAGAAAAGTCATTTGAAGCTGAACTTTGGCAAACTAGTACAGTGTATACCTACGGATGAGGAGGAGCCGCTTAGAGGAAGGCAGGGGTAATAAGACACTTCCAGATCTAGCAAGTCCAGTCTGATTCCCGTGAACAGTCAGGGTTAGTTAAGGGGAGGAAGAAGGAACTAGTGAAGAATCAATTTTCTCGCAGTGGGCAACAGACATAAAATGCTATTTAAGAAGCTAAAGGAGCTGAAGTAGTTAAGGCAGCGAGAATGCTGCAGACATACTAGAGACCCACTCTGTGCCTGAATATCAATCTATAACAGAAGAAAGGAAGCAGCATCTAAGGATAAGAACCTCAGAAAACACAATGGAGGTACAGGCCCGCACCTATACTAGGGCAAACTCTGCTTCCCTACATGGGGAGGTGAGAGGGTGTGGAAATAAGCCAGCACAACATTAATATCTGCTCATAGATACGGTACTCTGGCAGCGCCATACACAATGCCCAACTTAGGCCTAATCCAGACTTAATGCAGTCCAATACAAGAGAACCAATTTGGGACTGGAGACAGGAAACAAACTCTGAGAGATTCTAGTTTGTGGTGTTTCTGTTATTTGCTTGTATAGTAGTGTACTTCTAATATGCATGTCCATAATACAATAGTCAGATAGTCATGCACCATAATTACTAAATTTTTTCTACTTACCTGTATAGCAAGGGCACGAGCAACCAGACCTCTAAGGTACTGCAGGGGATCTTCTGGGCCCTCCCACTTGTTCTGCCATGTGAGAGGACACTGAAATTTTAAAAGAGCCAGAACTGAGTTTATAGATATTACATCAAGACTTCTGATATTCACGTAACAGGAAAAAGTTTAGCATAATTCACATTATCCACATCATGATTTCATTAAGATATATCTGATTTTTCTTTAATTTCATTACAATTGAATGACAGAGACAGTGAATTAATGTTTCCTTGAAAGGATTTTTTTTAAGTAAAAATTCTTAAAATAACAAAAACTGATGAATTCAACCATACATAGAAAGTAGTCAACCATATTTTCTCAAAACAATATTTTGTGTATAATGAAATCAAATTTCACAAGTTTAAAGACGTTAAAGATAAAAAAATTATTGGTCTCACAAGAATTTCTTTGAATTATAAATAAAGCAGGATAACAGAAAATTTATCCTAAAACTGTACTGAGATACATGGTATGAAGGCAAAATAAAAAGCCAGGACACTGATCGAAAAATAGCTGCCTTGCAGGACTTATATAATACTGGCCAATTAGCTGGCATTCTGTAACAATGCGCACTTCCTTACTTCACAGGTGTTCTGCAAGTTCACAGTTATTCTGGTATGCCTTTTTTGGTGAGGGTTATCTGGATTTTCCAAATATTTAATAAATATCATAAATTTTTTAATGTCTTGACAGCCATACAGGGAGCTGTGTGGATGAAATAAGCTTTCACTGCTAACACCTACTCAGAGTTCAGATTTGGAAGACAAAAATGTTTAAAAGTTGGTATTTTCTGCTTTGTTATCCAAAAACAGACAACTGATACATAGTACTGGGTTTTCACATTCACTATTATATGCTTCTCCTGTTATAACTTCCTTTTATAGTGCTCGCTACATAATATGATAAATTACTATAAACAAGCAACTTCTAAGATGCCTCCAGTGGTCTGTGATGTAGTCCCGTTCTTGTGAAATCCACTCACCTTAAATGTGAGTTGGTCACGGTGATACTTTTGTAATGAAAGAATACGGCAAAAGTAATGGTGTGTCCCTTCTGAGATTAAGTCACAAGAACACCGTAACCTCCGTCCTGTTCTTTATTTCTTACTTCCTTTGATCACTTTAACATAACTTACGGGAAGGCACATGTGGCAAGGAGCTGCCACATTTATTCAAGAGTTAGCAGACGGGAGAACGGGCAATAACCATCTCATCAAAGATCTTGAACAATATTGCCACTGACATAGTTTATATTTCCATAATAATTTCATACAGTATCCCATTTGAAATTCAACAATTATGTTCTGGAAATTAAAATTACAATGATGTGGAAATTAAATCCCATACTAAATTAATTAATTTAATACAAGAATTAATCAAATTTAATACAAGAATCAACTGGCTGAAATGACACCTGCCTGAGTGACACTCAGGACGGTCAGTATGTAAACCAACGCTCTGCCTGAATAATGCTCGGGCTAAACTGTTAAGTGGTTAAAACCACTCTCCCTGGACTTCTTCACAGTAAAATGGCTTTATCAGTAGTAACAGACCTGTGGTGTTATTGTGGTGATTACATGAGCTAACACGAGGTTCTAGACAGTTATTGGAAGTATTTCTCACTGATTCTTTCACTGTACCAAGGATTTTTTCATGACTGAAAATATTTTTGTTTGAAATAAAAAACAAATTAGTTATAATTTATAGTTAGAACATAGTACTTACAGTATTTTGACAATGACAGTTGATTAAAAGATATACTAATCCATACGAAAGGGAAAAATTAAAATGCAGTAAACACAATGCAAAGCATTCTTTTACATAATAAAGAAAAAAGGAAGACAGGGATACTGGAGAAGTTTTTTCTGTACATGTGGAAAAGCCGCGGATATCTCTTACATATTAGTGAGATGTACAAAGTTCTAAAAAGCCTATCTTTTTTATGAAAATAGAACTTTCAGGTTGACTATCAGAGGTTTCTTCATATTAACTATAAATAGCAAAACTGAAACTCTTAATTCTTATATAGTGCTAGAGAAATCTTTCCCAAAGTCAAGTTGTATAACATTTATCTTATCCAAACAACTAAAAATCAATCTATGCAGGACATCCCATATTCTTATTTCTACCTAGTTGATCTGCACTATGTATGTTTTACTATCATTTGAAATGGTCCAATTATTTAGCAGAAGTGTTGATTTCTTCCTCTACCAAACATATCCTCATTTTTCACTGGGTAATCATGCTTCCCTTAATCTCACTATATGTGTTAAAGTTAGATCCATTTACAACTCCTGGAACAGTTATTTGGTTGAAGCCCTAGTCAGTAAGAGTTCTGTACACTGCTCACAGAATTAGTATAGGAACAGGAATAACACACAATCCAACTGGTTTGGATCAAAGCAAATCCCATGATTTTTACTTGAGTGCTTAGGAAATAAATGTTCTTTCTGTTAGATTTGGCATGCAGAGGATGTAAGATTTGAGCTGGTAGAGTACTACCATGGATAGAGGATCTGCCCCAAATGAAGTAACACCGAGTTAATTACTTATGCCAAGAAAAAATAGCTGGAGAATATAAACTGAGCTCCTAATGAGAACCGTAAGCTCCTGCATGATGTTGATTTCATGTTAGCTATCACCAGACTCTAGTTACCTTTGTTAGTTAATTCCTAGATGGCTTCTGCCACTTTGAGTTTAGTTTTCCATTACTATTAACTACAAGATTCCTGAAAAATATATGCACAAAAACAGCTCTTTTAACAATGAAAAAACCACATACACTTAGTATTGGCTTACCTTTTGGTTTAATAAAGCACTTGCCAACTTGTGCACTTCTGAACTCAGTAAGGTGGTTCCTCTGATGACTTTGCTGAGAGCAGCAAGAGACTGATGAACACTCTGTACTAAACGAATGGCATTGAATTGCTCTAGCATGATGAAGGAAAATATTGGAGATCCTTGTCGATCACTTGGAGGAAACACTTTCTGATGAATCAGGTTTGAATTCTAAAAAAAAGTTATGACACATTTATTAAAAAGTAACAAACCACTGTTATATTGAAATACTTCAAAAGTTATTAAAATCTTCTGTTCCAAAAGTTTATAAATGGCCAAACATATTACGTCTGCAAAAACACAGGAAGAGAATTCTGGAAATTCCCAACACTTAAAGTGGTATACAGGGTGGGAAGTGAGAACGGTAAAAGGAGAATCACATTGAAAAGCAATGCTCAATATATTAGAAAAAGGAAAAATGGCAACCTGTAAGCCAATGCAGAAAGAGAGACAGCCACATACCACTCTGACACTACAAAGACAGTTAGAAAAGATCAGGGAAAAGGAGAGGAGAGAAGAGGGGAGAGGAAGGAAGGAGGGGAGGGGAGGGGGGCAGAGAGGAGAGAAAAGGGGAGGGAAGGGGAGGAGTGAAGGGAGAGGAGGGAAGAGGAGGGGAGGGAAAAGAAAAAAGAGAAGAGAAGAGAAGAGAAGAGAAGAGAAGAGAAGAGAAGAGAAGAGAAGAGAAGAGAAGAAAAAAAAGGAAAGATCATGGCTAACAATAATAATGTGCATAGACATTTAATTTGAAATCTACCCTTAACATCTTGTACTCTAAATTTTTCATTAAAAACCTAAAATAACTAATTCTAAGAATAAATATATAGCTATTTTATATATTCTTAAAGGATGAGGCACACAGATTTATATAGTACCAACATGTTAAACAACTGTTACATAATTTTAAACAAAACTAACTCAAAGTAATATTTATCATTGAAATATTGACACAAGTAACAAATGAGTACAACACATAGAGCAGTTTTCGATGGAATTTTCGATGGAATTATTAATGGGTCACAGCCATGTCTTTTTAATCAACCATCTTAAAACAAGCTTTTCTAAAAATAGTATTGAGCTTCATTGTGCTCCTTTTTTTATTTTAAAAATTAAAAAAACTGACAAAACAACAATGAAGACAAAATCAAAGCAATACAAAAACATAAAAAATGATACATGACCTCAAGACAAAATGATAGAAATTCACAATGGTGGCTGTATTACATGCAGTTATCTTCAACAAAATTTCTCAGTCCATTAGACATAAGAACGTAAGATTGACCAAACAAGCAAAGACAGTAACAAATAAATAAATAAATAAATAGAAATAATTTTTAAAAAAATTGGAAATGATGCAGAGCTTCACCATACAAAATGGTAGGAGTTCAACAATGGTTCTTTTCCTGCATACTGTTTTCAGATCAGTCATTCTAATTATCAAATAAAGACACTCAGCCACCTTATCCTTGACAATGGGGCCAAACAAGTTCACTGGGAGAAAGATAACCTCTTTAATAAATGGTGCTGGAAAAACTGGCTTTCCACATGACGAAGACTAAAACTAGACCCAAGCCTATCACCATGCACCAAAATAAAGTCAAAATGGCTTAAAGATCTAAATATTAAAACAGAAACACTAGATCTAACGGAGGAGAAAGTACGTGGAAGTCTTGAAGACATAGGGGTAGGTAGAGAGTTCATGAACAAAAATCAAACTGCACGGGAAACACTTCAAAGAATCAACAACTGGGACTTTATCTTATTGAAAAGTTTTTGGACATCAAAAGAAATCACCAACAGGGTGCAAAGAAAATCCACGAATTGGGAAAAAATTTTAGTCAACTGTCCCTCAGACAAAGGACTCCTGTCTAGAACATATAAA